CAATGCGGTTGCCCTACGCAATTAGCTATTCAAGATTTCTTGGATTCTCAGCACTGCAGAGAATTGTGTGTACCGCCATAGCTCCAGTTCATCGAGTAGTACTCGACATGCCCATGTACATTCATGATTTTCTTGACCATTTTATCTCCCTTCAGTCCATTGTCTCAGCCCAAAACTTTCCTTTGCACAATTTTTTTAAGTGATTTAGTGCCTATGATTCCATTTATGTGGCATCGATTTACCTCACAATTTTGATGGATCGAATCATAAATATTAACTGATTCCATTTAGGTGGCATCAATTTATCTCACAATTTTATGGAGCAAATCATGATTATTAATGCCAATAGCAAACCTTGCCGAGCAAGCATAAGGGCCCTGCGACCTACAGCGTGGGTGTACATGGACATGGGAGCCAGCATGAGCATGAGCATAGGCGAGAGGTGGGAGAGGATATAGAAAATGAGAAGCTCTGCTCCAGGTCTGCTATAATTTCTATTGGACTCTCCAATTATATTTCATGGAATGCTGTCACCGATCAACTTCCTTGCCTCATTTCATTATCACTAATATATTGAAGGTTTGGATAAACAGATGGTAACATTAAGTTTTGTTGTACTCACAGATTATTCCAGCAGATGGCGAACTTTTGTTTTTATGAGATACAAGGACGTTATCACCAACAACTCTCATGCTGCTTCTCGGTGATATGCAGCAGCGACATGCCCATAGCGTGTTGTTGTTATTCTTGGACAATAGAAATAGTCAACAGGTAACATTCTGTATGCTCATTGCATAACAAAAAAAATACATAGACAGGTTATGCTTTCCTATTGCAATTATTATTGTTCTTTATTTTTTCTTGTGCTCATGTTTATAGACTTCTCAATTTCCTTTGGTTGTGCACATGTCAACTTGGTCAGCTATCTATTAATTGCAATGGACCTGCCATCATTCCTTTCAGGTTAGAACCAGCTTGATTAAAAGTGGATGCAAAACTGTTCAGAGAGTAATTGATGAATTCATAAGAGCAATAGGCTTTGACCCCGTCGGGGGACAAATCTTGGTCCTGCATTGGACAAAACACAGGTTAAAAGAAGGATCTGCCAATTAACATTGGTACCTTTCCCTTCTGATTGTTTTTGGTGTTTGGTGTTTGAAAAGGTTCAAAATTCAAAGAAGTGCAGTGTTTTCTGCAAGTTGTTTACTCAAATTTCGTTTTGATTACTTGAGGTTGGTGAAGAGTATCCCTAGAGAAGAGATATATGGGTTTTGATGAACTTTTTGCCTATTTGTTTCAGTATTTGTAGAAAGAAAGCTTAGAAATACAACAATGTAGCACATAAAAATGGACCCAGGGCCAATAAATAGTTCCAAACATACAATTTTAGTGTTCTTCCAAATTAGCTCTGGCCAAAAATTACCGCATACATCCAACATGATCTAGAATGTCAAACCTCACTTCCATACATCCAAAGCACCAATTCAGAATACTCAATGTTATAATGCCTTGAAAAGAACAAATAGCTGACATTTTTTTGCACTTTTATATTTTCCCTCTATTTATTTTCCGTGACTCTCATTATGTTATTTACCATAGCCATGTCTATGGTTTGCTAAAAGTAGTTACATTTTTAACATATCTGATGGGCACGCAGCATATTTTTGCAACGAGCTATTCTAGCTTCTCCTGGTACAGTCTCATTATCTCCAGTCCTCTTTTCTAGGGGAGTCAGAATTTGATGCAGAGAATAAAACTCGATCAGTTCATATGAATAGCAATTATTCATGGTGTATTTTTGTCAATAGTTAATTTTCATTATTGGTGGCATCTGATTGTTAAGAGACATTTGCAAGTTCTCTGTTATTTTTCTTATTCTTAAATGTTGGTATTAGTGAGAATGTAATTTCAGCAATTAATCCATACGAAGACTTTGACCAACTAAAAGTTACTGTACTCGATAGTGATTATTATCCTCTGCATATTTGTTTCTATTATGTACAGAAACTCAGAAGAAGCTATATGTAATGCTTGGAAAGGATCTCTGTTCAGACAATTTTGCCAACTAATAGGTAATTTCCTTTATGGTCATCGCATAAGATTGTTGCATATAAGTTGCATTGCATCAGCAGGTTATGATAAAAAAATATTATCACCTGTTGGAGTCTAATATGATTATTACTCCAATGCTTAGACCTGCGCTCTATCACAAACTAACAGATTTATGCAATCTGTGAGTGAACAATATATCACTTGAGAACGTGCTTTCATTTTCCCTGTCAAAGACTACGAAAACTCTAATTCTATTCAAATGCTAAAGAAGTGAATCATCATTGCCTGGATCGCTTGGATCACTCGGCCTCAAGGTGTAAGCCTGCGAAGGTAAAATACATGCTTCACATCTATTTTTTTTAGTTAGTTCCCTTTATTTTAGATCGTCGCTCAAATCTGAAATTGGTTATTTACAGACTTCCATGCAACCTATCACACTAAAAAAATATGCTACGTATTCTCCTTTGAATTCTTTCAGTCAACCACCAAACAGGTTTCACAAAATGATTTAGCCTGCTGATGATGCTCTATTTTTTTTAAACTAACCATAGTGGAATGCTATATTAAAATGATGAGGCTTCTAATTTTGGTCTCTGCTCAAGTAGCACAATTCATGTAGACATAGCCCAAACATTTTCGTATGTATATCATACACACATATTGTTGGCTTTCATAGCCTTAATCTTATTATATCAACAAAGAACGTTCTGAATAAGCCAGGTTCTTTGCGCTATAAGAAAAATAGCTTTTCCTTTTTAACAAAAGAAACATCCATCCTAACATTTTTATGTACCCCATCCAAATGAGTCTTCACAATTTTGTCTTTGCGCCTAAGGCAAAGTATAATATTTTTAGGCTAGGTTCAAAAACATTTGTTGAAGTGGCTTCCCAAATGAAGTTGCTTCTCATCCCGCTTCTCATCTTTAACTACTAAGACAGATCTTTGTACACACACATGAGTGGGGACCAAAACAATAAAAAACACGTCATGAGGAGAGCCAAAACAACAACAAAACAGGTGACGAGGATAGCGATAGCTTAGAGTTGATTCCTACTTAGAGTTGTACACTGATTCTTTTTTTGTAAGATTGACTCTATAGAGAAACATTTGATATCCCTTTCATGCTACATCAATGTTCCTATTAGTTCGAAAAGGTAAATGCTGCTATTAGTTTCATTAATAAGTTTTGAGTTCATTCTTAGTTTTTTGCGTTGTGGTGTACGGTTTCATGGCCATGTTAGTCTGCTTCCCGTCTTTTAGGTAAGAAGAACACCAATATTAGTCAAATCCTTTGATTTGGTTGCAACTGGTTTCTTTTCCTTTGCCGTGACTAATCATGCTAAGAGGTTTGAACCTCTGCCCTACCAGCTTTTTTTTTTGTGTTTTGTACTTACAGTTTGGTTCAGCTTTCAAAACTCTGTTCAAGAACTAAATAGAAGTAAAATAGTCGAGTAATCGTGATGCGCTTGGAATGGTGCATCGAATGCTTAAAATTGTGAAGGTCACTTTCATGCAATAGTGAATACTCTATTATGTTTTTTGAGTGTCGGTGTTTCAATATTTTTGTGTCAATTACAAATTCTCGCTTTATTACTATTAGATTGCCTATACTCAGTTTCACTATTCTCTCATCACATCAGCGATTGCATCAAACCGGTTTTCTTGATTAGCAGCTAGAACAAGTATTCAGTGAGTAGGTTCGAAAAAAATGGAAGGAGCTATCTCGGCATGTTAGTTTTTCAGTACTTTTGATCTCTAATTCTTTATGTACATAAGTAAATAGTTTAGTAATTGGCATCTCGGTTTTGTCAGTATGGTAGCTTTTGCAAATTGTAACTGTATGATTTTTTAAATATCAAATTTAGATGGACCTCATCATGTGAACTTGAACATCAGCGTGACCATAACAATGTATTTTCCATTAATGTTGATTATTCTATCTTTCATTTCATTTGTATCTCTTTTAGTCATTTGGTGCTTTTTTCACTACTACAATGATTTAAGATATGTATACCTCTCAAAATTAACCTATCTGAAATCATTGTAATAGATTTTGATTATTTGAAATTGACGTGCAGGGCGATGTAGTGGATTCTCTAGCTGTTTATATGGAACCTCAGAGATATGTATGCCTTCCAAAATTAACCTATCTGAAATCATTGTAATCGATCTATAGCATACAATAAAAAACAAGGATTTAGGTTGTAGTCCTACTATTTCTACATGCATGTCATAGGGAGATGAAAAAGATTATTTCTGTTTAATGAAGCCAGGTAACCACTCCTGCAGTCCTTTTTGCTCAATTTCCTGACCTGCAGAAGAAAGGAGAGAGGTTTGGTTGATTTCACAAGATGTGTTTGGTCACGTTCTAAAATTACTGTGTGCCTTCTGATTGGCAACCGTACTGCATTACCATATGTCGATATAGAAATTGGTCCATGGAGAAAGGAGAGAGGTCTGCTTGATTTCATAGGATGTGTTTGGTCACTTATAAAAAATATTGTGCACCTTTTGAGTAGCACACGTGGTGCACTTCCATATGTTGTATAGAAATTGGTGTCTCCATGGCATTACTTTGGACTACATAGTTTCCTTGTTGCTTTGTCTGACCTTTAGTTTTTTACTAATTGATTCTTGCCTCTTAGACAACCATATAGCTGTAGGGAAATATACATATGTTTACAGCATGCTGGTTCTTGAAAAAATTGCAAAGAGGGTATACAGGTTTCGGATCTGAACAAAATCAGAAGCATCAACCTTTTTGTGTTCATAGCAAGCTGAGATAGGCATCATTAGTCTGACCAATGTCAAAAGTGTGATAAATTTCCTTTTTTCTCATCTGTTGCAGCAAAATTGTGACTCTTTTCGAACCAGTGAAGCTGGATACAATTCCTGGCATATGTCTGCAAGGCCGGTTTGGTATTGATTATTGATTTTTTGATCTCCAATGGATCCTGTGGTCATGGTAAGTCTGATTCAGTACATTATTTTGTCCTATGCCTTATATATATGCTTGCTGAGTACAAAGCCATCATCAATACTATTCAGAGTTTGTATGGCATCTGATGGGCAAGTTAGTACTAATGTTTTACTGAGTACAAAATCATCATCATTGGTTCTCTGTCTTGCGCTAAAAAAATCATCCTCTATGTCTCATGATTTCTTTACTTGGTGCAGGATATTTTAATTTGCTACCGATTCTGCGGTTACTATCACATCGTATCTTTCATCTGGTCTTGCCATCGGTGTGTGTGGCGTGCCTAACACAGTGATCGATGCGGTGAACTGTACTCATAATCATAGTCCAGCTTGGATGGAAGTCATATACAAATTTGTGGTTCCTCATCGAGGATGCTGGACTAAATCAGGTCGCGGTTAGCCACCAATACGGACGCGTGTGTTTTCTTGTTGAAGTCCCGAATGAAAAGTCAAGCAGTATAATGATTGGTCTTTAATGTGTTCCCTTTTACAGATCACGTAGTGGATGATGTTCCAAGGCAGGCACATAGTGACTCAGATCCTGAGGAGCAGCCTGTGCAGGGCAAACACAGTGATGTTGATTCAGAGATTTCAAATACAACCAGGTGTAGAGTTTGAATTTACAACTCTACAAGGTTCTACAGATGAAGATGCCCTCCTTCCATACAATCTTGATGCAATCTTGAACCCGTACAGCGCTAAAGCCATTTTCACTCCTAGCAACATATTATTGTCTGGTAAGGGCCCTACTCAAGTCATTGTAGCCTTTGATTTCATCAGAGGTGCCTCTAAGTCCTGATGTGTTATCTTCTCCTTGATTGTTGCTTTGGTTTTCTTCTTCCTCCAAATTATTGTCTGCCTACACTATGATTTGATACTGCTGCTTCCTAGCTATGTGAACTCCTGCCTGTGATCATATATTTGTATGCGCCATGTAATATTTCCTACCTTGAAAATATGCACCCTAGGCTACATTCAGGATTACAGCACTCATATTCTCTCTTTTAATTGCAGTCTGGTAATTACCTTGAACTAAGCTCTGATGAACTTATTTTTCAGCAAAGAAGCTACTGAGAGGACCTCCAACCCATCATCCACATCGACAGCAAAGGGCAAAGCCAGGAGAATGGGGTTTCAGCTTCAGCGCAGAGCTTTCATGGTTGGTAAATAAAACACTAATATTCTGAAACGTTTTACTGAATCTTGCTCACTTTGGCTCAGACACCTCACCTGAATTACCACCTGAAAACAGGTCAGTTGCAAGAAGACCACACGAATATGGAGTTCTGATAATCAGCATAGACCAACAACCGACCGAGGGAGCAATCTTTACATAGCAAAATCTCCATATTTAGAATCATATATCGTTGCACGGGCGCGCAAAGGCGCGCGCCCTCATACTAGTCTAGCACAATTAGCACTGCCTCCACCTCCTCCTCAGCTAAGCACGTCGACATCTCCTACTACCACTGTGTGAGCTCCATAGCACCGTTGATGTAGGATTAGTGGTAGGCTAGGCACCCAGCCATTGCTGTAGTGTTCTCCATCGTGCTCATCTCCTCCTTCCTGTCATCATCGCGATGCAGACACTAAACTGTGCTGGCCGCTGGTCGTGGTGTACGCAATTGTGGATGCAGCAGCGGTGTGGCCACCTCAAACACACGGTCCGTGGACCTACTGTCGTGTTCGTTGAGAAACAATGCATTGCATTCGTCCCGGACACTTCAACAACTCATGGCATATGATTGAGAGTTCTGGGCTTATGGCAGAGACGGTTTATTTGCCCCTAAGGGCATGTGCTCCCACCCATGCACCCCACTGCAGGAGAGAGCACATATCCTTAGGGGCAGATTTAACTTTCCCGGCTTATGGCTGCCGGCTGTGACTGTGGCCGAAGTTTGCGGCAGCTCTTGGAGACAGGTAGAGTGCTGCGGTTCTTCACTTCTTCATCGCTTTGGTGTTTTTCTCTATTCAGGCTTCTACCGCTTGTTTCCTAGTTTCTTAGCTCTCCGATGACATGCTTGTGTGAAGCTGCGATGTTAACCGCACTACATTAGCTGCTCTCAAGTGGTCGGCTCAACGTCTTGGGCGCACTAGCATGGAGACAGCATTAAGAAGCTCAAATCGCTCATCATGTTGTTGCAGTACATGCTGCGACAAGACTAATGGATCATTCATTTGGTGGTATTTCACGTCTCTGATATCTTCTAGTGGTACTAGCAAATGTGTCCGTGCGTTGTAACGGAAATCCAAATAATATAAGAATCGGACTTCATATCATTGCTACAAGTGAGTTATTCTAGCTTGTATAAGCACAAGTGACGAGTCCATATACGAGATACAAAGAGCACAGCCCGATACATCTTGGAATCGAACTCCGTATCCATCATCGCTAGACACGAATTATCAGATCTTTTTTCTCCCGACGCAAAACAAAGAAATATTTAAACATAAATATATCATAACTTAATTTTCAAACTATCTATATGTTTGCTATATAGTTAAATATTGGGTTCCATTGCTTTTTTTGAACCCACAAAAATATATAATTTTAATACCTAATTAAAGTTGGCAAAGAGTTAGTTGCTGTGGAAAAGTAATCTAAAGATTTAGACCGGATTAATGGCAAATTGCACAAGATTTCAGTTTACTTTTGAATAGTTGGACAATCAACTGATCCAGGTTTTATTCAAAATAAGTTGTTTTTAAAACTACATTAATAATGTGGTGACGACTTTTTTTGTTTTTTAGAGAAGGATTAATGTTTCAAAGACGAATAATATTTTATATATTATTTTTTCACAGTTTACGAGAAAAAAATGAAAAGCCATCAGAGTTGATGAACAGTTAGAAAAAAATCGAACCGAGTGGACGAAGGAACCAGCAGACAAAACAGATCAGCAGACGAAGGAACCGTTAAAAAGCAATAGCCAACACGGAACGGACTCAGGAAAAACAAAACCAAATGGAAACGGACTCAGTGGATAATATATGCACTTTTATATAATTGAATAATGTTTGAAATCTACTTGGATTTTAACCCAACCAAATGCCGTCAATTTTATTCAGCAATATAAATACTTAATTCTTAATTAACTAATGTTTTGTGCGCACGAAGCTAGCTAGTATGTTAAAAGAAATTGAAGGGGAAAAAATCTTACTTAAAAGTCGAAAACCAACAGCAGCGCTTCAGTGGCACCGCACCGTTCAGATCCACATTGTGGGGGCTGGCCACTCCACCAGTCCAACTCTCAACTCTCCACCACAAGCACCGAGCAAATACTCTCCCTCTCCTTCGGAGCCTCACAACCAACTTGAGCCATAGAATAGATCGAGCTTTGGGGACCGAGCCGTAGCTAGGTTGGTGTGCGCTCCCGATGCGGAGGGCACTGGTCGCGCGTTCGAGCGTGGCTCGAAGCGTGATTTTGTCACCGGGGTTTTCCCCCATAATAAATGTATGCAGCCTCTCGTGTAGAGCCACAAAGGGTCTCTAGGAGGACGCGGTTGCTATGTGTGTAGTTGTAGGTCTAGGCTTAAAAAAAAGAATAGATCGAGCTTTGTACGCTCTAAGTTGGCATCTGGCGGAGTGCCAGGGGCGGTTCCATGCGAGGTGGATCCAAGGCGAGGGGTCTTCTGAGTTCTTCTTGGTTCATTGGTCTTCTGAGTTCTTGGTTCATTGTCTCTGCGCTGCACATCGTGCCTCGGCAAAGTCAACAAGGTTCATGTCACCTGAGCTTGTGCGGAGGGTGGCAGTCGCCGTGCCTAAGGCGAGGTGGTGGAACCAGCCGGCGTGGGACAGGGCGAGGCGGCACGGCGGACCACTGGCAAGAGCTGCGAGCTTTTTTTTATTATTTGGTCCGATCCGATTTTGCTCTGCGGTGGCGTCGATTTTGGTCTGTAGTGCCTTGATCTAGTTCAGTTTGGTATTCATCTTGCCTTTCTTGTTACTTTTTTCTCTTTTCTTAATTTTTTTTATTTCTCTCCATTTCCTCCTCACGCATCTCTCTTTTCCCTTGTTATCCGCTCGTGAGCCTCGTCTGTGTAAGCGTCCGCCCGGCACTCGACCTCCGCCTCCGTGTCTCTCTTCTCTGTCTCCGGCGTGCCCGAGCACACGAAGCCATGGAGGAGCCCTGCACCCGCGGCATGGAGGAGCCATGGAGGGCCCACGCCCGTGACTTGACGTGAATATTGTATAGACTCATTGGTTACTTGACGCCGCTGCAGCCCGCCCTCGCGACTGGACGCCGCCTCTTCGTCGCGGTCCGCTCTCGCGACTCATCGCCGCCTAGCCGTCGTGGCCCGCGCTCGCGACTCGACACCGCCTTACCTTTGCTGCCCCGCGCCCTCGCCTCGTCTCCGCCTGACGTCGACGCTCTGACCGTCGATGGAGAAGGGGTATTTCGCCTCGTCTCTTGGACATTGAGGTGTTCTGGTGATAGATTGGAAGAGGATCGAGATGATGTGGGTGCCGAGTCGACTATTTATAGGATGGGTCATTGCGAGGGTGGATATGTGGGTTTGTGTTCCTGTCGGTCTCTGTCGTAGCGTCGCGGGAGACCAGACAAAAAATAAGGCAGAAATTTTGTCTCTTTATTATTAGGGATAGATATCACGAAACGACATTCTTTTAGTGCTAGAACCAATTTTCCCATTAAGAATGCAGGCTCAGGGATTCAAGGTATGGCTTTAGCAATAATCAAGTTCTTTTGCGTAAAAGCTTTTTAATAAAATTCTTTACATCAACGTTTAAAACTTCATAAGATCATATACAAAGCTAACACGATCCGAATTGAGATCATGAAACTTCATAACCAGCACCTTCACAAACCATCCTCAGGTTCCAGTTATTTAAACTACGATGATGAACAGAGAAGTGAGTCTCCATAACCGAGGAGCAACGACGATTCGAACCGATTTAACCCACCTGAGAATTCCAGACCACATGACATATGCGGGTCCCTGACCTACATATACCAACCTACTCTCGGATCCTCTAAAACAAGAACGGGTCCGCGCCACCCGAGAATACAATACTCCACCAATCCAGCCCATTGCCACGTGGGTACACGCTATTCCCGCCATCTCTCCAGTCCCAGTGCGCGAGTAGCCATTCTCGTGATAGAATAACCAAGTTAAGACTTACCGGAGTATGTGGTTAGTACTATAAAATCTCACCTCATGCGGTTCAACAACGGTACGGGCCTTAATCGACACAGGCGAAAAGAACCCGCTCGCAAGACCTCCATGTCTTATGGCTCCCCTACACCGAGTTTGCCCGGTCTAGATTTATTACTCCACATTCCCATATCACATGATAACATAAATAACCAAAGTTTCATCTAAAACTTGCAGATAACAGGTAATCACCCGACTTTCATCGTTCTAAGCATAGCTAAGCAAAACTAGGTATATACGAATTAAAACTAGAAACAAGGTAGATATGGAAAAACAAGGTTGGTAATGCACCAATTGGGTTTTCACTTAACTCCTAATCACTTAATGCAGTAAAGAAAAGCAAAAGCAAAATCAATTTGTAAAACACAAGGTATGTTTAAATGCATCCGGGGCTTGCCTTCGTTGACGGAAAAGTCCAGTTCCGGAGTCGTTCCACCGATATCAAATCCAACCTCCACAGACAGATCAACCTCCTCAACTACTTGATTAACTACCACGTGCTCACATTCGTTCACTACACATAGTAACAATGCCATGTTTAACATGATGCGAGATACAAAAATATGATGCTCGATGATGGATGCAAAAGTTAACAACTTGAATACAACTTTCCTTCACGGTACA